GAGAGAGAGAGAGAGAGAGACCTAAGACTGTATAGATCTCAGGTTCTCCTTCTGCTTTAGTCAGATGGAATTCATTTTTGTGAAATATTGAATAGGTATTTCACTGAGTTGTAATATAATTTAGTTGGTTTGGCTTAATACATTATATGAACCCAGCCATTCGATTTGTGAAGTATAGTTTATGGCTTAATGCTATATTGACTTATTTGACAAACTGTGGTTAATCAACCAGATGACTGGATAATGAAAATCAACAAGGTTACAAATTTCTTATTTCCAATCTAGTCTTATCCACCTTCGAGCTAAACTAGGAAAGGAGAAATTTAAATAATACATTTTCATAATATGATTCAAAGTAATCAGGCTTGCATGAAACATTTTGTTTCAAACCATTTTGAATATGAAATTTCACAAAACTCCAATTTAAAATGGGAAATGACAGCTTTGAAAAACTCAAAATTGTTCAAAAATTGTTTTACTTAGTTGTAAAGAAAACTTTACAAACTCCACATGCGATAGCATATGAAAAGAAAATCCCCATAATATTAATCAGAAAGAATATAACAATGGAACTATAAAAGCATTTCAGATATCTAGGTTGACTACAGTAATTTTATCTTTCCTAATCTCCAATGATATAGCCATATCTCTCTCTAAACTCAGTGGGAGTTACTGGTAACTAGATATGCATAGCATTACATAAGAAGTGTAATTAATGCATATTAATTTTTAGTCTTATAAACTTGCCTCATGTGGTTGATGAATTAAAAGACCCAAATGACATGGTTAAAGGTGAAGAATGTGAAATCTGTAGTGCCTCACATTCTCTCACTCAGCATTAAATTCAAGTACATTTAATTTATATGCTTTATTACATTTTGCCTAATAATTGAGGAACAAATTCAAGGGGAAGGAATAGTTGGTGAGCGACCAGAATTTACCTATATCAAAAGGTTTGTATTCAGCCATGAAGCCAAGATTTGTAGTAGATGAAGCTCTGAATTTTATATAAAGAGAGTTATGTCTTGAATGAATCCTAGGTGGTATAGTGTTCCCACAGTATTTTCCCAAAGAAGGAGAAGTTGCATCGCCACCATTTCTAATCTGCAAAAGAAAAAAGTTCAATCCCAAGAAAATACCACAGAACTAAGCATACATATTACAGGGAGTTATTCCTGTCAAGACTTTGGATAGGGAAGGAAAATTGTCTCCTATTCTGTTTTAGATTACTTTGGCCAATTTCCCTTTCACTTAAAAAGACATTTTTAAGACTTTGAAAATTAATATCATTTTTGTTCACCTTTCTATATGAGAATTGTTTTCTCATACAGAATAGTTGAGTGACTGTATATGCATTTTGATAAAATTGGCTTAGTGGAACTATTTGTGCAATCATTTTCTGGAGGGTGGAGGTTCATTCTCCAAGCTTGTAGGTTGGTTTCTGAACGTTTTGTTATCAGGCTAAGTAACTTCTTTTCTGAACTTTGTATCATAGAAATATTCTTATTCTTCTGTCTATGTTTGTTATTGTATTCCACTCTAAAATGAATCTTACCTTACTTTCTTTAACACACTATCTTTAACTGTTTTTGAGCCTAATACAACAGATACAATATTTACAGCTTCACTGTCAAGTGTTAAGTTCACTAATCATGTTGGTATATATTATCATTATTTTCTACTTATTTAATACTAAACCTGTTCTTTGTTTTTTATTGTTCCACTTTCAAAATGCTTCTAATTTTCCATACTTCAGTTTTACCAAGCATTGTCAATCTGCATATCTACAAACGTGAATGTTTCAATCTCCTGTCCTCACATCTATCAAGGGCCAGGGAAATCAGGAGATTCAGGCAGTTCAAATGAGTATAAAGATTTGTTGCAAGCTTAAACTCTCTAAAAAAATCCCTTGACCAACTAAGGGTCAAGGGAAATTAGAAAGAGATAAGATGTCTCACAGGGCACAGGTTTATAATCCATTTGTCCCCTCCCTAAATCTCAGCTTCACATCTCCTACATCTTCTCTTCCCCTTAATCCTAATTTGTATTCTGAAGCACTGTTTCTTTCAATTCTGCTTCACTGTAAAGATTCATCAGAAGAATAATCTTATATTCTGGCATACTTAGAACGTTATCAGCCTTAATATATTCCACATTCTGGCATCACGCAGGAAAAGGCCTTGCTGAATCAACAAAGCAAAGGTTTATTGTTTTATTGATCCTTATTTCTGCTTGCCCTCTGTATTATCTATCTGAGGTTATCTGTCTGATCCCATGTTCCTCTGCCTTATCTGAAACTTGCCTGTTCCTTTGTCTCTGTGTATAGCTGTAATCTACTTTGTGAAAACAACATAGATGTTTTATTTTACATATTATTATTTTGAGAAGTGCAAATTCCCAAACCTCTTGCTTTATTAGGAAATACTTAAGTAATTCTACCTCATCAACTAGGACATCATTGCCTAAAGTTAATTGTAACCCCAAACAATTCTTGTAATTATTTATTAAACTGTCTACTGAATACAGTTTACAATAACATATAAACTTGCATTGCCTTTCAGTCCTAACTAGGTATTCTTAAAATATGAATCCCACCAATTTCTGCGCAAGAAAATATGTTAGAATTATGGAATCAATCTAAACTTGATTTTTTTAAAAACCCCACATATTTCAATTTTCCAAGTCAAGCATTACATTTGGTCTTTGAGTCAAGGATCAAAGTGACAAAACGTAAAATCAATTATTTTAAATTTCATTAAAACAGAGTATATTTTTTCCCTTTTCTGTCATGATAAATATTATATGTCATTAGAGATTTTGGATTCTCATGATGTATAAATTAAATGTGAGTAATTTTTTGAAGAGACACAGCCAGTCATATCTATGTCCTTTGTAATGTTTGATTTTCATAATAATTTCCTTTAAAAAATTTTTTTTACCTCCACATAATCTGAATTGCAAGCAGTGACATTATAGATATGAAAATTAATGAAGTTAAGAATCACAATATTGCCTTCAGGTTCAGATATGATCCATTCACAGATACGGCCCTTTGGCAATGGTCTGGTAAAGTAGGGAGATCTGATGACCCCTTCACCAGACAAGGATCCACCGCAAGCTGCCAAGAGAAATGGAGAATTAGTTTAGTAATTAATATTGACAAATTATTTGAAGTATGTTGACTGACATGGATATGAGTATTTACTCCACATACAGTAGTACGTTTATAGGTTGCTGTTTAGTATCATTTAACACTACAATCTAGACTTTGGACAAGCTATGTCTATTTGATGAATATTTAAAACAAAAATCACAGCTTGCAGGGAGGATTCCAAGCAATGAATTAATTAAGACAAGAGTTATCTTGCTATTGAACAGGTTGTTACAGACAATATATCATTTTGATATTTACACTGAGGAGGGTTAGATAGTAAAATGGGGTCTCTGCAATTTAGAAATTTTATTTAAATTAAGCAATGTCTAACTGCAAGTTCCAGATTATTCTCCTCTGCCTCTCTTGCTTACAATTGAACTATAATATTTCACCTATGCATGAATTCATTTACCTCATGAAATAAACTTAATCTGCTCTAAATCTCACTATTTCCACTATTTCCAAGCACCAAAGACCAGCTATGGGGCATATACCTTTACCCGCTATGCTACATTTATTTAAGAGAACTATTGCACTATTAAGTAGAGCTAGATTAGTCTATGAAATGACTAACTGGCTGATTTTTTAAAAGGTGCTTACTTTTTAAAAATATCCAAGTTGGAGCAGCTATATTTATAAGGGGAAATTTGGAACTTAATCAGAACAATTTATCTACAAGTTTCCTGCTGAATTTTTTGAAGGCCACTATTACAGCCTGTCCTTATCCCTACTATCTCCTACATAAAAATGAGGAAAGTGGGATTCATGAAAAAAAAAGTACTGCAGTCAGATCCTTAGAGAAATCTGACTGCAATGTGGTAAGATTACTATCTTCTGAAATATCTGCTATCCTGAAAAAGAAAACAAACTATTATAAGGCTAAACTGCTTTATAATAGCAGAAAGGGGTGAAATTGAAAGAAAAATATGTCACCTTCTCAAAGATCATTAAGGTTCCCATTTTGGGTCCATTTAAAATAGTCTACAGAATTTACAGTATAGTTTGACCATGAAGTTAGTGGATACCCTAGAACCGTGATGGTGAATTTACAGCACGTGTGTGGGAAGTGGCACGCAGAGCCATTTCTGCCAGCATGCGAGCCGTCGCCCAGAACAGATCTACTGCACATGCGCGCGTGCCTCCCGCCAGCCAGCTGATAGTCCAGTATCTGCTGCACATGCGCAAGGGGTGGGGTGTGTATGGGAGGGTTGTGCGCGCATGTGCAGGGGTAGGGGGGGCTCACACATTATGCATTATGAGTGCATACGTGCACATACATACTTTTGGCACACGACGTTGAAAATGTTAGACATCACTGCCCTAGAACTTTATGAAAGTTGCTACCTTACCTTAAGTGGTTGTTTAACTTACCAACTTCATAAGTGGCCCTGAAGTTAGAAATATTAACTGAAATGTCAGATTTGAATTTGATCCAGAGGCTACTTTGACTGGAAGTGATTGCAGAAGGAAGTATACTTCCACAGAACTTGTTGATTAAGGGAGCCATCTCAGTGTCGCCATCTCGGATCTAATCCACCCAAAAAAAAAAAAAAGCCTAATCACCTCAATTATCACACACACACACACACACACACACACACACACACACACTGCAATCTCTGGAACTTAAAATTATATTTATTGTACTTACTAAGCTTTCATCAGCCTTTGCTGATATCATCAGAATATTAAGCTACCATTACAGAGATCTCTGCCTTTATATATCATTAATCAATTTAGCCCTTGCACGCGTGATATGCCCTTTCAGTACAATAAATGTAATTTTAAGTTCTGGAGATCGCAGGATGTCTGTTTCTTCTTTTACTCACAAACAGATACATACACCAGCCAGTTATCTCAATGAGATATTAGAACAATAATATGAAAATTATTGGAATCCTTGGTTTGCCATTGCTCCATATTTTCCATGCTGGCTTTTCAAAACTTTTTCTTCTTTCAAAAAATTTTATAGTCCTTTTGCACTTCACTCGTTTGTGGAAACTTAGTGGAGTTGACAAAATTTACAAAGCTTTATTTATAAAATATCTGCTTTCTGGGGAGAAGGCAATATATGCAACTTGAGAACAGTAAATATACAGATGTAAGCTCATTTTAAAATCTACAATTTGTTTCTACAGGAAATACACTATTAAATGAGATGATGCTACATTCTTTAAATTCCAAACTTTTAGAATAGTACCATACATTATCAAAGAATGTATTATCACATTTCTGAACATCTCAGCAATATCTACAGGGACGTAGGAAGTAAAAAAACACAAAATGGTGGCCACAACCATGGTAATCAAAACCCTAGGATGTACATAAAATTAATTGCACAATTGTGACCACCATCCTGACTTTTTAAAAAATCTGTAGCAGATTCTCCTGTCTGGTTCCTTTATTTCACTGAATTGCAATTTATGCAATTTATCATCACTTATTTATTTATTTATTTGATTTGTCAATCACTTACAAGATAACAGGTATAAGTATAAACATAGTTATGAATACATGAAATGGATACATATAAGAAAAATAAAAAGAAACAATAGGACAGGGACGGTAGGCACTTGGTGCATTTATGCACGCCCCCTACAGACCGCTTAGGAAAGGGGTGAGGTCAATAGTAGACAGTCTAAGGTTAAAGTTTTTGGGGTTTGGGGAAGAAACCACAGAGTCAGGTAGAGTATTCCAGACATTGATCACTCTGCTGCTGAAGTCGTATTTCCTGCAATCAAGTTTGGTGCGGTTTACCTTGAGTTTGTCTCTATTGTGTGCTCTTGTGTTGTTATGGTTGAAGCTGAAGTATTCATTGACAGGTAGGACATTGCAATGTATGATTTTATATACCATGCTTAAATCAGACCGAAGACGGCGTAATTCAAAGTTTTCTAGTTCTAGAATTTCAAGTCTGGTAGCATAAGGTATTCTACAACGAGTAGAGAAGTGGAGAACTCTTCTTGTGAAATATTTCTGGACTTTCTCAACTGTGTTAATATCAGATACGTAATGCGGGTTCCAGACTGATGAGCTGTATTCAAGTATTGGTCTAGCAAATGTTTTGTATGCTCTAGTTAGTAGTGTGATATTACCAGAGAAAAAGCTACGTAGGTTTAGGTTAACAACTCGTAATGCCTTTTTGGCTATGTAGTTACAGTGGGCTCTAGCACTTAGGTCATTAGAGACGAGTACTCCAAGATCCTTGACTGAATTTGGATCATCAACAAGGTCTTGACTATTCAGCTTGTATTTTATTTTCTGATATATATATTTTTGCCAATATGTAAGACAGAGCATTTGTTTGTTGAGATTTGAAGTTGCCGTTTGTTTGACCATTCTGATACATGGTCTAGGTCTTTTTGAAGGGTAGCTGTATTGTCTGTGGTGTTGAATAGCTTTACATCATCAGCGAAGAGAATGCAGTTGCTCTTGATATGATCACAGAGGTCATTTATGTAGAGTATGAAGAGAGTTGGTCCTAGAACACTGCCTTGGGGGACGCCACTGTTGACAGGTACAGAATTTGATAGGACGCCCCCAATTTTGACCCTTTGTTGTCTGTTTGACAGGAATGCTTCTATCCAGTTATGCAGGTGTCTAGAGATACCGTAAGATTTTAGTTTTAGGAGTAGTTTTGTCATGTATATATGCAGTATAAGAGTTGCAGATTTTTCTGAAACCAAATTGTTTATTAGAGAGTAGGTTGTTTGTCTCTAAGTGGAGGATGATGGATTGGTTAATAATTGATTCCATGAATTTACAGGTGACGCAGCATAAAGAGATTGATCTGTAATTTTCAATTAGGCTGGGGTCTCCCTTTTTGAAGATGGGGATGACCGTGGCGAGTGACCATAGTTTTGGCAAGGAGCTGGTCCTGAAAGATTTTTCAAAGATTATGCTTAGAGGTTTGGCTATGGCAGTGGATAGCTTTTTTAAGAAGTAGGCACATATTCCATCCGGTCCAATAGATAGAGATGGTTTTAGATTGCGTAGTGCTTTTTCAACATTGTCTTCTGTAAAATCGATATGTATTAGATCATTGTGGTTCTCTGTGATTCGACTAGGAAATGCTGGGCATGATCCATTGCTGTTTACAAATACTGAGCCAAAGAATGTGTTAAAGAGGTTGGCTTTAACGGTGTCGTTGTTGCAGTCTTTGCCATTAGGTCATTTCAGGGGTGGGGTGGACCTTGAGTCTTTTAATTTGTTGTTTACAAAATTGTAGAAAGCGCAGGTGGAATTGGTGCATAGAAGGTTTTCCTCTTGTTTAACGTGATAATTGGTGCATTCAGTCTTTATTTGGTGGCATAAATTTTTGTATCCGCTTTTGAAGTTGGCAACTTTTTTTTGACCAGATTTGTTTTTCCACCAAAGTGATCTCTTTTTGGATTGAAGTTTCCTTATTGTTATGGGTAATCTGTTTTTTCTGGTTTTGGGAGTTGTTATTGGTACATATAGTTTGATGACTCTTTTGACTTCAAGTAAAAATATGTTGTAATGGTTTTCAACAATATTGCATCCAGTGAATAGAAATTGCCAATCAAGGGATGAGAGATCGTTGTCTATAAGATCATAATTGCCTTTTTTGAAGTTATCACATCGTTGTGATGACCACTTTATGGAACAGTTACATCATTTGTATTCATGACAAAAGCACTGGCAAATAGGATTGCTGAGCCAGCTAATACGTACCATATCCAAAAGCATGTGCAAGTAATGTACCATCTAATCAGTAATTTGTGCTTTTTGAGGAATTCTGATGAGTTTGGATGTGTATTTAATAAAAAGTACAGGTAGTCCTCGACCTACGAACCATAATTGAGCCTGGAATTTAGGTTGTTAAGTGACATTTTTGCCCATTTTACTACTTTTCTTGCCATATTTATTAAGTGAATCTCTGTAGTTGTTAAATTAGTAACATGGTTGGTAAATGAATCTGGCTTCTCCCTTGACTTTGCTTGTCAGAAGGAGATCACATGATCCCAGGACACTGCAACCATCATAAATGTGAGTCAGTTGTCAAACGTCCGAATATAAATCATGTGATCATGGGGATGCTGCAATTATCATAAGTGTGAAAAATGGTCATAAGTCCCTTTTTTCAGTGCCATTATAACTTTGAACGGTCACTAAAGGAACTGTTGTAAGTTGAGGACTACCTGTAATGCAGCCACTGTTGCAATTGTTAACAGCAAATTATCAGTGTTTTCCAATGGTTATTCTCTGATTGGGTTTACATTAGAACAGTGGTCGCCAACCAGTGGGCTGGGGACCACTGGTGGTCTGCGAGAAAATTTTGGTGGTCCGCAGAGAAATGTCATCCCCAAAGCACCCCCCAAAGCAATTAATCCAGGCTGCACGGGAACATAAGGCTGCGCTGCCCACATGGCCTGAGGGAACACAAGGCTTGCATCGCTTGCATTGTGAACAACACGAGGGAGTGAGGGGAGGGAGGAAAGGGCAGAGGGGGGAACTTGCCCCACTCATCCCATGTGCCTTACCTGGCTACCAGGCTGCTTCTTTCTGCTTCTGCTTTTGGCTGCATGCAAGGAAAGCAGCAAACGTCTTTCTTTCTCTCCCCCAAACTCCATCAGAAATGACTCTTTGGGACCCTGCAAGGCATCCTGTCCCAAGAGGCTGGGCCAGCGTGTCAAGTCTCACAAAGACTCATTTCTGGTGGAGTTTGGAGGAAAGAAAGAAAGACTTCTGCTGCTTTCCTTGCATGAAGCCAAAAGTCCCTCTCTCCCCCCTCCCCCAAGAATGGAGCTGGAGATGGTATCCTGCGATCCCAAATAAAGAATGATCGATCAGTAGGAAAATGGGGTGGGGGATTTTCCTGCAGACTTTTCTGGAGGATTTTTCCATGGACTCTGGTCCTCGGGATTTAAAATTATGAGTTTGGTGGTCCCTGAGGTCCAAATGGTTGGCAACCCCTGCATTAGAGCACAGATAAATATATTATCTGGAGTTTTAGAGTGAAGGGCCAGAACTCCCAGGCACTGTTATTGTTTCAAGGACCAAAACATCTCCCACTCATGCTAAAATAGACAGCTGCATATTTGATCCTAGATACTTTAGCACTTTCAGAGAGCAATATTGCATTATTGCTCTGAGGCCCATGAGAAATTTATGATTTTTCAAGATGTGTGGCCTTGGAGACTCTTCTCAGAAGTTTCCTACAGTCACCACATTTGAAAACCCAATGATCTGGCAGATAGTCTTTCAGGATCCTTGCAAGAAAGGAGGCTATTTTCCATTCTGCCCAATCAAGTTCCTATGCTTCCAAATAGCAAAAATATTGAGTTTCTAAGTGTTTGTTTAGCTTTCTATACTCATAGTCCTCAGCCGGGAGGATGTGTGGAGGTTTAGAGGGGGTGAAAGGGACCTCCAGAAGACACACAAGATTCAAGCAGGCAAACCTATAATCTCTGGAATTAATTCCCAGAAGACAAAGGAAATGCCTTGCTAAATTAAACCTATTGTTCCTTATTAAAATGGTTTTTGTTCCATCTGGTTTAGGGCATGTTACTATGATTTTGCCAACAACCAGAGAAGGAAATTATGAATCCAAATAAATAAATGTTTCTGCTTTCATTTTTATATCAGATTTCTGTCTGATTTTGGAAATGAATTCTGCTTATGAAAGAAGGAAAGAAGAAATAAATCTATACAATCTAGATATTTCTTCACATACATCTTTTTTATTTATGTGAGCTAATATCCTTCTAGATATTAGCTCACACAAATCTTTTTCAACATTTCTCCCAAGGCAAGTTTAAATAAAGACAACCAAGGACATTTCCTTCACATTAGCGTTTCAACTCAAAAAGCCATATGGAACCAATTTGCTGACTCAAAATGCACAGACTACAAAGAAGAAAGTGCAAAAAAGAACCCAATCTGTGACCCACCTTCAGAGCCACTAAGAGTTGTGGAGTAACAAAATTCCCTTATCCCAACTCCATATATAAAAGAAATAAAATATATTTATTAGAACTTTGAATTTTGCTTTTTGAGGAACTGTGATGACTTTGGATATGTATTTAATAAAAAGTACAGGTAGTCCTCAACCTACAAACCATAACTGAGCCTGGAATTTATGTTGTTAAGTGAGACATTTTTAAAGTGAGTTTTGCCCTGTTTTACCACTTTTCCTGCCATGATTGTTAAGTGAATCCCTGTAGTAGTTAAAGTTAATAACATTGTTGTTAAGTGAATCTGGCTTCTCCCTTGTCTTTGCTCCCTTGTCAGAAGGTTGCAAAAGGGGATCACATGATCCCAGGACACTGCAACCATCATAAATGTGAGTCAGTTGTATTTCTATACTTTTGTATGCTGCTTTGCCAAGCACAAGTAAAAGCACTGAAATAGTCACGGAGAAAACAAAGAATAATATATGAGCTGAACCATGAAGTAGGCAAGAGCTCTTTGGAGAAACAGATGTTCTCAAGTTCTGCAGAATCAGAACAATTCAAAAGAAAGAGCAGCATTTACCGCTGTTTCAAAGAATCTGAAGTAGAACCCAAACTAAACCAACTCCAACCACAGAAATAATTGTCATGAGATCAGTCAAGGGCCAACAATCCCCAAATGGGTTGAAGCATTGGGGTGCAAATAACCTGAACCAAATCTAGACTTGTAATAGTTTCAATAAAATTCAAGCACTTTTCTCTAAAGGTCTGAACGCAGGATCTTTTGAGGAACCCAAGGAGAAAAAATACTCAGTCTTTGACTTACGATCACAATGGAGGCAAAAATTTATGTTGCTAAGCAAGACAGTTTCAAGTGAGTTTTGCACCATTCCTTGACACAGATGTTAAGTGAATCACTGCAATTAAGTTAGTAGCACAGTTGTTAAGTGAATCTGGATTCCCCATTGACTTTGCTTCTCAAAAGGTTGCAAAATGTGATCACATGACAGTGCAGCTATCATAAATATAAACCAGTTGCCATGTATCCAAATTTTGATCACATGGCCCTGGGGATGCTGAAATGGTCATAAGTGTGAAAAGTGTCACTTTTTTCAGGGCCTTGTAGCTTCAAATGATCACTACTTACAAGGAATGGTTGTAAGTCCTTTACATAACATCTTATAATAAAATATTTCTTTATATTTTTCACTGAACTCCCAATACATAGAATTATGCAGGAATTGCTATTGCATTTTGTTAAATGTTACTGTCTTAAATAAAAGTATTCATCCATCTTTAAAGTTAGGTCCCTTTAAGTCCTGGGGGATTGTCTTTAATTACCTCAAGCCAAGATCATATGATAACTTTCTCCAATTAGCTGAAGGAAAACTGTCATATGTTCCCCATGTGTTTCTTTTTAAAGAATATCTTAAAATAGCTGGATCACATTGTAAATTTCAACTTCTCCTCTCAAGACACCGCTACAGAGCACTGCCTGCCAAAACAACTAGATACAAAGATAGTTTTTTCCCCCATGCCATCAGTTTGCCGAACATTTAATTCCCACAGCACTGTTTTATTTCTCATCTTTTTCATCTTCTCTTTTTTACTATTATCTTCTATTGTTTTTTATGATTTATCAATTGTTTGTAACTTCTGATTAATGATTGTAACTATGATCTATAATCTATTACTGGTGTTTATATGTATCTTATGAGCTTATGCACTGGAAACAAATTCCTTATGCAACCTCTGACAAGCAAAGTCAAGAGAGAAGCCAGATTCACTTAACAACCATGTTACTAATTTAACAACTAGAGATTCACTTAACAAATATGACAAGAAAAGTGGCAAAAAAGTCACTCTAAAAATTGATTATCTCTCATATATCTTTGTATATATGTTCCTGTAATATATTTTTTATGAATAGATTGGCTTACTTTTCCTGCTCTCTCACAGTTTTAAACCTCTTCAGTAATATCTAGAAAATTTTCCACTGAATAAAAACAGTTTATAGTTAACAACAGTTTACAGGTTTCTAATAGCTCCTCAGAATGAACAATAACATTTCTGTTTTTCCATAGTGTTTGGGCTGTTTAAATAACTTAAAAGATGACAGAGAGAATTTTAAGACATTCATTTCACTCCTTAAAATCCTTCAAGCAGCCTAAATTGAACAGTTTCCAAATCCTGCAATATACTGCCCAAAAATATCAACCCAATACTTTCTGGTGATACCATGATATCATCAGGAACATCATTTAGTCACACCTCTTAGGCTAAAATGGATTGTTTTTTGCTTTAAACTTTTCCCCTGATATAATTTCCCCAGAAAGCTGGTTGATGTCAAGAACACAATGAAATGGAAATAATATCTTCTAGACCCTTGAGGCAAGCTAATTGCCCCAAGGCCCCCTTTCTTTCATTTCTGGGGAAAAGAAGAGAAAAGAGAACTAATCCCCGATTTAGATTCATCAAATTTGTCCTTCACCAGAGGTGGTATTCAGCAGGTTCTGACCTGTTCTGGAGAACCGGTAGCGAAAATTTTGAGTAGTTTGGAGAACCGGCAAATACCACCTCTGACTGGAGATTTTACAGTATCCTTCCCCTGCCACACCCACCAAGCCATGCCCACAGAACAGGTAGTAAAACATTGAATCCAAGCACTGTCCTTCACCATTTTTTAAAAAAATAGAAACTAATAATTACCTCAATATAGTTCTGGGAACAGTTAGGATGTCTTTCCAGCTCTAGGTGTGTGAAATTCAAGTATATTTTTTCATTGGGTGTCTGTCGAATGATATAAATACATTGTCTGTTGTTCAGATAAGAATTGGGCCAGTAGGGAGACATGATGGTCCCACTACTATCTGTATAATGTCCTCCACAGTTGGGATCCACTACATTAAGAAGAGTAGTTAAAAAATATTACTCAAAATAGCACTGAAAAATATAACCAGTCTTCAAACCAATGGCCATGGCAGCAACTACACAATCATGCGATCGCATTTAGCAACTGGCATGCATTTACAAAGGTCACAGTATTGTGCAGTCACATGTTCGTCATTTATGACTTTCATAGCTAGCTTCTGATAGGCAAAGTCAATGGGAATACCAGCAAGAAGTTACAAGTTGCAATCAAATAATGTCATCCTTAATAACAGTAGCCAGAACTGTAATGTTTCACTTATCAACCCCATTGTATAGCAGTGGGGTTGCTGATCCCATTTACAGTCACTGAATAAGGAGTATCTCAATATGCTTTGCTCCAGACATGATATATAGTCTTCTTCAGCCTGCTGCAGTCTTGTGGGATGAGAATTTTAAAATTAGGGTTTCCATTGCCAACATACCTGAAAGGCACCAGAAGATGGCTGATAGGGACAAATACTTACCGGGTGATGTTATGTATGTGATATGGAATCCTCTATTGTTATAAAAACCATTGGAATGAAAATGTATCCAAGCATATGGACCAGTGGTTTGAAGAGGAGGTGGTAACCCAATACTGCAATATTTCCCAAGGAGGGGTTCTTGTGAGAGGAGGCCATCTCGAATCTAAACAAAAACATGTCATCCTGTATTTGTTATACTTTGTCAAATGTAGACGCACCATCTGTATCTAACATTAAAAACATATCTATTTTCACTATTATTATTTTTTCTACAGTATTTCATATTGCCTATAATAAATTAATTTCAACAACCCAGATACTTATTGTTCTATTTGATGCTATTCAACTGATCTAATGTTTGTATCATTGACTGCAGGCAAAATAATAAGCAGAGCCACTTGGCCTAGTGGTTAAGGCACCAGACTGGAAACCAGAGTGTCAAAGGCCTAGGAAATCAGGAGATTCAGGAAGTTCAAATAAGTATTATAAAGATTTATTGCAAGCATAAGTTCTCTACAAGAATCTTGCCAAGTGACTATTAAGGAAAATACATGGAAATTAAGAATAGAAAGGAATTCAAGGTGGCTGGATTTAGACTTTGGATTCAGCCCCTCATGGTGTTGTGGGGGAAAACAGGAGAAAGTTGCATTGGTTATGTTTGCCGCCTTGAATTTTTTTTTGAAAAAGCAGAATATACCTGTAGCTATACATTTATCCACATACTTCTGCCTACTAAAAAAATAATTGAGTAAGGGTTGTACACATAAATCCATCGTAAACTCCCCCTGAATTATGACTCTAACCTTTGTTCTTGGGGGTGTTCATGAGCTAAGGATATTTCTTCCTACTCTTTCCCATCGTATTCAGACAGAAGACCATGTCCATTACATTCAAACTCTAGAACTGCGGATTTGGACTTCAGATTTCTCTGGCTGCCACTGACAATAACTCTAGATAAAAAGCTAGTGATATTTATTAAATTGAGCAATCCTTAAAGAATTGCATGATACCAAAATTAAAAATAACAGTGGATGCTAAAAAAAGTATTTCACATTATAAACCCTTCCGAAGATGCAGCTGGTTAAATATAAGAGGTTTATTTTCTTTATATGGTCAGTGTTGCATATTATTCAAGAAGTGCTTGAGAAATACTTATTTTCTTGGAAATGGAGATAAGCACTTAACATTTAAATGTTTTCTAAAATATTCTCATCCTTCACATGATTCTTTTGATTCATGCCTGGGTTTGAAATGATTCAACATTAGAATGACCTGTTGTGCATGTTCTATAAAATAGTTTTCATTTGACATATTTTTGATGAGGTACTTGTAACAACTTCAGCGTGTCTTCATTGTTTGCAATATGGATAGATATCTAATCTTAACAAAGAATAGTTCTAGTTAGTATATTTGTTTTGTTTTGGTAGCTTAATAGAAAAATGGGATAATGACATATTAGATTTCTTATGCAATGTAACAAGATCTAAATGTCTATTTTTGTGCAAAGTTTTCCAGATATGAAACTACACCTCTGAAATGTATTTGGCTAGGTTCATATATGACACAAGGATTTCTAGGTTGAAGCTGATAATATGATTTGTAACTTCTGTTTAATATTTTCTTAGCATGTTTCTGGCTAGAACATGGCAACCAAGATTAAATGCTATGTATGAGCCCTTCCTATAATATACAAAATTTTTCTATTTAGCTTAAGTGATGGAAATTAAATTCATTTTTTGTGTTGTTGCTATCCATTATTTTTCAAATTACTGTTACCTCAAGATAATCTTGGGTACAGTTATCATGATGTTCAAGTCTCAACAAGCCAAAAGCAAACGTAATAAGAAGACCAGGATTAGTTGAAATGGTCCAATAACAATCTCTGTTGGGAGGGTAGTTGCCAGGATAGCCAGGTGAATTAATTGTCCCATATGTAGTGGTCAGTTCTTCACCGCATTCTAAAGAGAGAAAGAAGGAGGTAGAGGAGAGAAAGGAGAAAACTTAACAAAATTAACTACTTCCTGTTTTAATATTTTCATCACATTCATTAAGGCTATGATTGTGACTATCGTCACTAATAGTAATATTATATTTAATATAGGCCATAGGTCATATTATTTTGTTAGCTATTTGAAGTGCAAACTATTTTTTCTGAATATTAATTCAAATGCAAGGAAAAAAAATACCCTTGAAGAGCATTTCTACTCTGTCTTGGTGACTAAAACCAGGAAGTTATAATCCAACATATCTGGAGGCCATCATGTTGATGAATAACTACCTCCATTGTGATACTGCCTCACTGGAGCACCAAGCTATCCAGAAGATCTAGGTTTTAAGGCTCTTCTGGAAGGTCAGGAGGGGTGGAATCAAACTCACTTAAGGAGGGGGCAAGATGTTCCAGAGCAACAGTTACCAACCAGTGGTCTGCGGACCATTGGTGGTCTGCGAGAAAATTTTGGTGGTCTGCAGAAAAATTATTTGCATTTTTATATTGCACTAAATACTATTTATCTTTTAAAAATTATATTAGTGGTATGTGGGGTTTAAAATTATGAATTTAGTGGTCCCTGAGGTCCGAAAGGTTGGTGATCCTGTTCCAGAGGACAGGTGCAGCAACAGAGAAGATCCTTCTCCTGAACTCTCCAGTCATAACAATTGAGCTGACGGGGCCTGCAGCAAGCGTGGGGCAAGGCAGTCCCAGTGGGATGAGGCTGTTGTCCCTCAAATAGCCTGGCCCCGAATAGTATAAATACTTTTGTCAAAAATTCTTCCTGAATAGGAACTACGAATGTGTGATTCTGTATTTTATGCCTGAATTCCGAGTAAACCATATCTCAATCAAGCTACCATATACAAATAGCTCCCATTTCACTTGTTTTACTGAGTATGTTATTTACATGATATTACAATATCTGCAAGAAGAAGAAAAAACTCAAGAGATATAAATAACCCAACAACAGGGAAACCATTACATTAAGAGCCTAGCTTACATTTAAAAATGTTTTTCTATCAAATTATATTAAGATTCCTTAATTACTCAAAACTTGTTTATATCAAATTTTAATCCTATTCTACTAGAAGTGCACTGAGTGGATTTATTATTTTTGCCAGACTAGCTATTCAACCTATAGATTGATGCTTATTGTTCAGATTATTTGTCTTCCTAAATCTTCCTAATGTGATGAGTCACATTAACAAGAGACCAATTACCTAAAGCAGTGTTCCCCAATCTTGGCAAAAGGATGTGTGGATTTGATCTCCCGGAATTCCCCACACAGTTCGATTAAAGTCCACACATCTTAAAGAAGCCAAGATTAAGAAACACTTGTCTAGGGAATACCAGCCTTGGAATGGTTCATTGAACCAACAACTTCTACATACTTGTGCTGTATTAGCATACTCCAAACCCTCGCAAACTGATTGGTCCAGACGGACAGCGACCTGATTGGTCGAAGCCCCGGCCGTGATTGGAGCGCTAAGAATCTACCACGATTGGCTGTGCCGATCGCGGGAGATTCAAAGCGCTGCCATTGGCCGCCGAGCCGCGAGCCAGCCCTATATGAAGGGCTGCCACAGCTTGTATTCTTCAGACTGTTCCTATTCTAAATAAAGAGCTGAACTCACTAGAATGGTCTCGCGTCTCCTTCGAACCGATCCACCTCAGATCTAACACTGGCGACGAAGGTGGGATCGTGAGACAAAAAGACCACCCAGCACGTGGCAAGGCGGCACACAGCAGCAAGCAGCATGGCCGGCATCAACTCACCACCCGCACCCTTCAATCCCGCTACCGAGGACTGGGAATCCTATACCGATAGGTTCCAGATGTTCCTCGAGAGTAGCAATCTTAAAGATGCCAACGGCCACAAGAAACGGGCCGTATTCCTCACACACTGCGGGCCAGCGGTGTTTAAAATGGCCAAAGCCTTGGCCAAGCTGGAGGACGTCAAGACCATGGAGTGGGGCGACCTCGAGCCCCTGCTACGAAGCCACTACGCCCCCGTCGTGCCCATCCTCATCCGGCAGCACGATTTCTACAGGTGGGACCAGCGCGAGGGCAAGGGGCTTGGCGACTTCATAGCGGCACTACGAGATCTGGGTGGCCTGTGCGAGTTCGCTGACCTGGACGAGGCCCTGCAAGACCGCATCGTCCTGGGACTCTGAGACCCCATTCTCCAGAGCCGCATCATGGCAAAGGGCGACATCTCCCTCGCCGATGCGCTCACAGAGGTAGCCGCGGCTGAAGCAGCCAAAAAATCAGTGGCTCGGATGCGGCAATCGAGCATCGCGCCACGAGCAGCGACCGGCGAGACGACATCGAACCCCGAAAGGCGACCCGAGATCGACCACCGGGACACAACCACGCACCACGGCGACATTGACTCCTTCTCAGAAACCGAGGACGAGGGGGAGGAAATCCACCGCCTGCAAGCAGCACGAGGGCGACGGGAACCCCGAGGTCGTAAGTCGAAGTTCCAATGCGCCGGCTGTGGAGGCGATCACCCCCGTTCGGACTGCCGGTTCCTCGATGCCGTTTGCCGACAGTGCGAGAAGCGGGGGCACATCGCCAAGGTGTGCAGAAATAAAAAACACTACAGCCCGCGGCGATGAGACGGCAGCCCACGGAGGCAAGAGAACACCCCCACCAGATACCGAGACCGCCAGACGGAGAGCAGCTGGAGCCAAGAGGGTCGGAACAGGCGGCTCAACGAGGCAAGACAAAGGGAGGAAACACACCAGACCGTTGGCGGCGGCCATTCCTCCACAAGCGACGCCAGAAAGGTATACGTGACGGTGGGGATAGAAGACCAGCCATGCGACATGGAGGTGGACTCCGGGTCCTTCCTCTCCATGGTCTCATGGCACACCATCAAGCGCCTGGTTCCCTCCATCCGCCGCAAGGAATTAGAAGACCAAACACTAACCCTCAAAGACTACCAGGGAAACCGCATCCCTGTAGTTGGCAGAGGCCATTTTAAAGTCACCTTCAAGAACCACACCGAAGTGTTACCCCTGACCATCGTCGACCGGGATCGGCCGAGCCTGTTGGGATTACAGTGGTTCGCACCCCTAGGCATTGAAGTAACCGGAATCCACCGCACCACAGAGTCGGACTGGGAAGCGGCGCTCGTGGAGGACTTCTGGGAAGTTTTCGATGACAGCCTAGGCAAGTACCGGGGATCCCCTATCTCTTTTAATATAGACCTGAGCATCGCACCAATCCGCCTCAAGCCCAGACGAGTGCCATTTGCACTCAAGCCCAAGATCGATGAGCAGCTAGATAAGCTCATCGCGCAAGGGGTACTGGAGCCAATCGATCATGCCAGGTGGGAGACCCCCATAGTCACCCCCATCAAGCCAGATGGGTCCGTGAGAATTTGTGGGGACTATAAGGCCACCCTAAACCACGCGCTCCAGCAAAGCGCATACCCCGTCCCATACCCCTTCTGCACTCGCTGGGGGGAGGCCGGATCTTTGCAAAACTCGACCTGGCACAAGCCTACCAGCAACTGCCGGTCGACGCCGCAACTGCCGAAGCCCAGACCATCGTAACGCACCGGGGGGCTTTCCGTTGCAACCGGCTCCAGTTCGGAGTCAGCGTGGCACCCGGGGTCTTCCAAAGCCTCATGGAAAGACTCCTCCAGGGCATAGAGGGGGTGGTGCCCTACTTTGACGACGTCTTGGTGGCCGCGAAAAACGAAAAGCAACTAGAAACCCGGTTGAGGGAGGTACTGAAGAAATTCAGAGACTCGGGACTCAAAGTCAAGAAAGGGAAGTGCCAGCTACGGGCTGAGAGGGTTGAGTTCCTAGGGTACCTCCTAGACAAACAAGGGATCCACCCCACAGAAAAGAAACTGAGAGCCATAAGGGAAGCACCATGACCCAAAAACAAAACGGAACTTTCTTGGGACTGTTAAACTTTTACAATGTCTTCCTACCTCAAAAGGCGACCGTGGCGGAACCGTTGCATAGGCTGTTAGATAAAACAGCCACCTGGACCTGGGGAGCACGGGAGGAGAGTGCTTTCAACAACACAAAGAATCTGCTAACATCTGACGCGGTACTAATCCAGTACAGCGAGACCCTGCCATTAACGGTAACGTGCGACGCATCGCCTTTTGGGATCGGCGCCATCCTCAGCCACCAGCTACCAGACGGGAGGGAAGCACCCATCGCCTTCTCATCAAGGACATTTTCAAAGCCGGAGTGGAACTACAGCCAGCTCGACAAAGAGGCCCTAGCAGTCGTCGCAGGCGTCAAGAAATTCCATGAATACCTTTACGGTAGGACTTTCACAATCATCACGGACCACAAGCCGCTGCTAGGGATCCTGGCAGGAAATAAGGCCACACCGAACATTCTATCACCAAGAATGACAAGGTGGTCTGAATTCCTGTCAGCATACAATTACCAGCTGGTTCACCGACCCGGAAAGGACATCGCCCACGCAGACGCCCTGAGCCGCTCACCCCTGCCCGACCTAGAAGACGACCCGGCACCCAAGACAAAGGTACTTCAAATAGAGACAATACCCAACCCACTAGTGACCGCGCCAGACATTGCCAGAGAAATAAACAAAGACAAGCGGCTGGCGCGAGTCCTAAGCTGGGTTGGGAAAGGATGGCCGGAAGGGGACAGGGACGAACTATTCAGACCCTTCAGAAACAGACAAACTGAACTCTTTACCGAGAAGGGCTGTATACTTTGGGGGGACAGAGTGGTAATTCCGGAAACATTGCAAGCAAGGGTATTGGGGATGCTGCATGAGGGGCACCCAGGGATGGTTAAGATGAAAAGCCTGGCCAGAAGCTATGCATGGTGGCCAGGCGTGGACAAACAGATCGAAGCCTGGGTAGCCAAATGCAAACAATGCCAAGAATCCAGACCCAGCCCTCCCGCCGCCCCAATACATGAGTGGGAAACACCAAGAGGACCATGGTCTCGGATTCACATAGATTTCGCGGGACCAACCAAGGGGCACATGTACCTCATCACAGTAGATGCTTACTCCAACTGGCTGGAGGTAAGCACCATGAAATCAACCACAACAGAGGCGGTAATAAGGAAACTGGGCAAACTCTTTGCCACACACGGCCTGCCAGATATAATAGTGTTGGACAACGGGCCCCAGTTCACCGTGCTAGCGTTTGAACAATTTCTGGCAGGCCAGGGCATACGCCATGCATTAACCGCGCTGGCAAATCCGGCGGCGAACGGACGGGCGGAACGCATGGTCCAATACACAAAAAAAGCCATACAGAAAATAGAAACAACCAACATACAAGATAAAATCAATAAAATGCTCCTCATCCAACATATTACACCTAGCGCAACCACAAATAGAAGCCCGGCAGAACTAATGATGGGCAGAAAACTACGATCAACACTAGATAGAATGCACCCCACATACACCCCTGACAAACCCCCGGGTTCCTCCAGCAAGCACAGAAAATTCAACATAGGTGATGCCGTATACGCAAAAAACCTGTCAGGGGAACCACTCTGGGTACCAGCAACGATCACCCAAATAATCGGCCCCGTATCATACCGACTAGAAACAAGCAACGGGAAAAACTGGAAACGGCACATTAACCAACTGAGGTCCAGAATAGTCAACAACCATACACCCGAGCAAGAAACTAGAAGGGGGGGGGGGGAAACGGCAAGCGTTAAAGAAAGAGGGACCCCCCTAGCGCAAGCTGAACAACCCCCACCCAGAACAAATAACCCGCAAATAAACCGGTCCTACTCACCAGTAAACGCAGAACCAACAGAACAGGCAACCCCGGAATCGTCACCGAGAAGGAGCAGCCAGGCCAGTTCAACCAGCCCGGAAAAATCCGGCGGGAACAACAGAGACGGCAGCTCAACCAGCCCGGGTAGACCGGGAGGGAGCTACCAAGAAAGGCCCAGCCCGACCTTCCAGGCGGTTCCATCCCTGGGAACCGGAGCGACAGAGAAGGCCTCCGAACCGGTTGACAACCAAACAAGAACTGAGCCGCGCAGGTCAACTAGACAGGTACGAAGCCCCGCCTACCTGCACGACTACGTCACGATGCACCGACAGACGAAACCAAGAGGGGAGAGGTGTGCTGTATTAGCATACTCCAAACCCTCGCAAACTGATTGGTCCAGACAGACAGCGACCTGATTGGTCGAAGCCCCGGCCGTGATTGGAGCGCTAAGAATCTACCGCGATTGGCTGTGCCGATCGTGGGAGATTGAAAGCGCTGCCATTGGCCGCCGAGCCGCGAGCCAGCCCTATATGAAGGGCTGCCGCGGCTTGTATTCTTCAGACTGTTCCTATTCTAAATAAAGAGCTGAACTCACTAGAATGGTCTCGCGTCTCCTTCGAACCGATCCACCTCAGATCTAACAATACTGCTATTGACATTATATTGCATTACAATGAGTTATTCATTTACTCTGCTGGATATTTGATGCTACAGTCCAGTCCAACTACCTTACATTCACGAGTGTAGCCATTCACTCCAGTAATGCAGCCTCCTCCACAGTAACATGGATTTCTGGAACACTCACCAATTTTTTCTGAACAGTTGATACCAATCCAACCGGGATCACACTCACAGTTATAGCCAAAGGCTGTATCCTGTAAATATTAACCCAAACAAAAAATAAATGCAGTGCTGTAAACATGAATCATTTCTCAGCAGGACCCATTTTCATACAGTAATTCTATCCATGTTGAGCTATCATGAACTAAATTCAGTCTATACTTGGTTTTTTTTTTAAACATGCTCCGTCATGAATCTTCAGACATCTTAGGAACCAGCCAATCTTGCATATAACCCTAATTAATACGATATTTTGCATATTTTGACGGGATTATGTTTGAACATTTGGTGGCAGTGGGAGGAAGGCTAGCAAAACATTAAAGTCTGGACCTTTGTTTGCTTCTTATTCTGTGTATATGTTTGTGTTTGTGTATCGTGAGTTATTTAATCATAGTTTGTGTTTAAATCCAGAATCCTGGCTTTTTCCTGACTTATGGCCAGCTCGGTATGCTCTTTCATTTCTTTAGGTTTGTTGGCAGACACCAAGCCTTAATAACTTTGCTTGTCTAAACAACTCAGTTTGGCTTACTTTTGGCTTAATGCAATATCTTAATCTAGACAACATATTTGGGAAGTTACTAATAAAAATATTATAGAATAGAAAAGTTAATATAATAATACATTGTAATATATCATTAGCATAATAATAATATAGTATAATTCATTCAACAAAAGTACATTGATGAGTAACATTTTGAATATCTATTGATAAGATAGATGTGGTCTGAGAAAGTACAAGTCTATATAATCAAAGTTTAACAACAGCACTGAAGATTTAATACTTTATGTTCATAAATTCACTTTTAAAAACACGTACAAGACATTGTCCATTTACACAAGGATTGTGTGTTTGGCATATGGTGCTCAGGGCAAAACATCCATTTGAACCATAACCATTTCCAGTGTATCCATCTGGGCAAACACAATTAGGTACAGTGCCTATAAATAAAAAAGGAGGATGTCAAATTCATCTGAATTTGCTTTGGGCACTGTTATTTTAATAACATCACAATTTTTCATTATCTGAGAGTATCTAAATGTTAACAGTAGCATCTATGTCAAAAAATGAAGAGACCAGAGCTGTGAACCGAGAAGAAAGTAATAGGAAATGCCAAAGGGCAAGATGTCTGACCAGCCAGCCAGAGTGAGTAGCCACATTAGCTAACATGAAACATTATGAAAACAATAGCAATAGGATTTAGACTTATATACCACTTTATAGTATATAAAGCACCCTCTAAGCCAGGGGTGGGCAAACTACGGCCCGCGGGCCACATCCGGCC